AGGAATTACCTGAGTCTGAGCTGAACCGGCGAGAATAACAGCATCATTGTCCAACTCTAGAATATTACGAAAGGTTGGGTCGCTGTATTCAAAGCGTTGTCCAAAGACCACAGAGAAGATGATGTTACCCACGGCATTTGTTATGGTGTAGTGGGGGTTGAATGGTCTTCCTGGAAATTTTGTAGAATTTATTTCAAATCATTCACAATCATGGTAGAGAGATCACTTCAGTGCTCAGCAAAAACTTGAGTCAAGTGAATTCCTGTAATCTACTTGCCTTGCTCATCTTTGAATGCCTCACAGAGGAAGTTGCTCTCCACTTCAATATATTTATCCAGAGACTTCAGGCCCTCTCCAAAGTAACGCAGATGAGTGTTGGCAAACTTCCTCTGCTTCTTCCACAGGTAACCGTTGCTCATAGCTATACCTGTGAGGATGTTACATCAAATTGGTTCCAAAGCAGTCTCTGTACAGATGATGATGCATGTAGTTTCAGAATAATAATAATGCATTGTGTTGTATTTATTAACCCTCTGCTTTAACGTATTTATCAACTCTTACCTATGATGACCTATACAGTAAAAAAAACAAAACAAAACATTTTTTCGCATTTTTTTTCAGTTATTTACTGCTTTTGTACAGATTTATCCTGTTTTGTTAAAGCTAATTACAGATAGCACCTTATAAAATCACAGAAAAAAAGTATTCATTTAAATGTTAAACCTAGAAAAAAAACCCCACTAAATCTGTAAATAATGGCCACATCAACAATCAGTGTTTTTACAAAAGCAATTTGCTCTTTAAAGCCACTTTTTAAACTGCCTTTAAATCAGCGAAAATTTATTGATTTTACATGTATTTGCCATTACATGAAAAAAAAGTTTTATATCATTGTTTGAAAAATGGGAAAATGATTTTATTAACTGCTGTTTTGCAGATTTTCCCAGTTTTGTTAAATTACAGATAACATCTAGTAAAATCACAGAAGAAATGATGGAATATTTAAAATGTACTTCAAAACAAAACATTGACGGTCACTCCTTTATCTCTGCTGCGCTGAGTTTGGGAAATCTCTGGAGGAGGGACGACGTCAGAGCGTAGATGTGAAATGATCATTACTTTGAAGGTAAAAATCCTCCACTCAGAATTAATTTATTTAGTTTTGTCTGGAGAAGGAGCCTAATACTGTCAAAAATAATAGTTACAGCATACATTCATGTTTTCTGGAACTCATTGAACTACTCACCGATGCCTTTGAAGGTCTCGTGGAAGAGAGGGACAATTGGTCGATCAGTAAAACTGTCCAGCTGGTTGACAAGAGCCTCTTTGACCATGTTGTATCCTGAAATAAACACCAACCTCTCACTGCCTTTCCTCAGGCTGAACACAGGGCCGTACTCCTGAGCCAGCTGCATTGAAAAAGAAATGACTTTTCAAGAGAGGAAATATTTCACAAAGACTTCAAATAGATGCATCTGATGAAATGCTTAAAAAAGAAGACATTAGCACGTTGTTAAATTAAACTAACTTTAAATTAGTTAAATCTTCATTGAAGCCACTGCTACAGACTGTCAGTCTTTGATGTTTTTGCTCATAATACAGTCAGTTTCACTTTGTCAGTGCTGTTCCCTGATGCTGACGTGATCTGTGGGGATTTGTGAAAAATGTTAAGAACAAACTATCGGAGTTGCAAACTTTTGTTTTCATGCATTTATCTTTATGTCTTGTATGTTGTGTTCACAAGGCTGCGGTCTGTAAGACAAATTGCCTCATGGATATCAAAAGATTTGTTCTATTTTTCCACACTCTGCTCTTGGAAAACACTTGCACATAAATGCATATAAAAGTGTAGCTGTTCACTTCACCTTCTCAATTGTTTTGAAGTCAAGCCCAGTGAAGATATTTCCTACAAAAGGCAAAGCCCAGGGTCCAGGAGGAAAGTTGTGAGGTCTCCAGTTTCTCACCACATCAATCAAAAGCAGCAACGCAAAACCAAACAGAAGCCAACCCGAAATATCCATCGAATCAAAAAGCGCCTGAAAAATCATGTTGAATATATTTTTAAAAGCCCTCTGAGGAACCCTAGTTGTATTCAGCTGACAATGTGGTGGTCTGATAATATCTGAGTGAGACGGTGGTCGAGGAAACCAACCCCCAACTATGTTACGTAACACTGGAGGCATAAACAAGACCGAAGCATGAACTCTTCCTGTTGCAGCTGAATAGAGGAATGTGAACTGCATTTTAAGGACACAGTGAGGTGTTAAAAATAACTTTATTGATATGATATAAACTGCTACACAATAATTAATTTGTTCGTGAATCATTGATGCAGTTGACAAAGAAAGGTAAAATATGTGAAGGCACATTTGAATATAGGATTTGTGCAGAAGATGGATGTTTTTGACAGTGAATGTAAGAGATATGTTTGACAGAATCAAAGGGTGCAGGGTTAAAGTGATTAGGTAATTAACCATAATGACTAATAATGTCATGGAACCATCAGTTGCTTTACCGTTGAGTTCCCAGGCCTGCATTCTTTGCAGGCAGCAACTTTCAGGGCGGAACAATTAAGCCAGTGTGGGAGTGCCAAAACTGCAGTTCCTTGAATGGCCACTTGAGACTGACTCCCATTTGTCTCGCCCACCTGTTGTAGGCTGCAGGTAAAAACCTGCCATTGCCTCATTTCAGGCAGCTTTGTCGTCCCTTTTTATCTGCTATCTGAGATTTACCATTTTCAAAATTCACTTTGCTACAGAAAACAACAACAACAACCTTCCAAAGCAATTTTCACTGTTAAATATGTTCAATAAATTAAGGTGATTTCCTTGATAAAATCTCCACGATTTTTTCAGTGACCTAACAGAGATTAGATTTTTATAGTGTAAATAGACTCAAGCAAATAAAACAAAGCGCAGTTGTGACAAAGTCGGTCCAACTGTTTCATTGCACTGTTGCATGTAAATCAGTGGAAATGTCAGGTGTGGTATCTAAAAGCAGTCAATCAAGTTGAAAAATAAACAAAATATAAATCATATAATAGAAGGTGTGGTAACTGGAGGTGCACGCAGAGAGCAAATCCTCTGCTCACTCCAATGCAATGCTATTTTGAATTTTTTTTTTTTATCATTAAGAAAATGGTCTGACTGGACAGTAAAAGCTCCCAGTGGATTCAGATGTCAGCCAGATGTTTTCTCACCGGCATAGATAAGCACTTCTGAAAAACATTACATAACTCAGTCAACTTGAGAAACTCAGTGTATTTGTGTCAAGTTTTAAGCCTCGCCGCTTCATGTTTTTAACCCAAATCATGACTAACTCTCCAAACTGTCCTCAGTCATCCATGTAAATCAGGGGTATTCAATTGAAAGTCACTGAGGTCCAGTTATTAAAATTTCCTCCAAGTACAAGGTCCGAACTGAAGTCCAGTTNAAGTGATTAGGTAATTAACCATAATTACTAATAATGTCATGAAACCATCAGTTGCTTTACCGTTGAGTTCCCAGGCCTGCATTCTTTGCAGGCAGCAACTTCCGGGGGAGGGGGGGATGAAGCCAGCGTGGGAGTGCCAATAGTGCAGATCCCTCATTGGCCACTTGAGACTGGCTCCCATTTGTCCCACTCACCTGTTGTAGGTTGCAGGTGAGAAAGTGCCGTTGCTTGTTTCAGACGGCTTTGTCGTCCCTTTTTATCTATCTGAATTTTTACCATTTTCAAAATTCACTTTGCTACAGAAAACAACCTCCAAGCTGCAACCTAAACACTGAAAATGACAAGTTTGGATCATGCACTGAGGCAGGAGTGCCTGATTCATTTGGTAAATAGCTGTAAAGATCTATGAAGAACATGTTTGCAACATTGTTCTTTTTTTTTAATGTGTTTGCCTTTTTGTTATGAAAAAGTTAGATTTTACAAGCATGGCCAGTTGTCTTCAGCAAACTAGTGAAGGTAGACACAGACAGATGGTGTAAAAAGCCATTGTTTTGGTTGCGTCCCAGTTGGTAGCAGTCATGACAGACCATGTGAAAACAGTCAAGGGGAGGAGCTACAGATCCAGACATGGACAAGAAAATGGCTGCTGGCCTGTATTCTATAGTATGCACATCTTCTAAAAAATCCATCAGCAAAGATAGATGAAGATGGCCCTTCTCCAAATGTTTATATTTTGAGATGGACTGATGTGGATGAACTACAAATGACAATATTGGTTTAATAAAGTTGGACAGGAGCCACACGCTGCTATTAAATCATCTGGTTTTACAAAGTAGAGGCAGGCTTTTCCTGTTAGACACCAATCATCAGCTTATGTTTGTCTCTTTTATTAGTAAAAGTCCTCCCACAAAGTCAACTGATGTTACTTGTTGTTTTTTCTTTAGTGGTGAATTCGTAATTGTGATGTTAAAGTTATCATCCATGCCCATGAAACTGTTCCCCTCGATCACGATTTCACAGGGACACAGTGACAGCGTCCTGATCTTAGCCTCACCCATAACTGCCTGGCTTGATATATGATGTTATTATGATATAATAGTCAATAAAGTCTCTGAGGTCAGATAAACCTCATGGGACCGCATCATCTGATTCATTTTTTTTTTTTACCTTTTCCATTGAATTTCTTTCATTCAAATTCATACTGTAAATTATGTTTTGCATTTTACAAAGACGATTATTATT